TTTTTGTCAGAATTCAATAATATTAGGGCTATTGTTTGTATTTAAAGATCTTGTTATAACAATTTAATAATATTTATTGAGAAACTTTTAATTTAAGTTACGATTTTTTGAGCATTCCATTTTCATTGTTAAAAAAAATTCACGATTTATTTGCAATTATAAATAAATAATAACCATAATGTGTTTTTATACATAATTTTATATAGATTTAGGCCACGATTACGTTTGAGAAAATTCACTCGATTATATTAATTTTTTACATAATTTGCTTTGGAAATTTCAGCGCCACTTACATTTTTAATACTGTATTCTAAATATGCAACTGATATGCCGGACATTTAATATAAACTAGAGAAGCTTCGTGCTCACAAAAAAAAATTATTTAGAATCATGGAATCGATAGGTTCAAAGTGAAATTAACTACTCTCCGAGGTTATATTTATTTTGAAAGTTAAAAACTGAGAAGCATTGAAATAAGAAAGAAAAAAAAAAACTGAGTCGATTACACATTGGTGCGAGAAGTGTCAAAAATTAGAAAACTGTAATATTCTTATTTACATAAGCATCAAATTCATAAACTTTTGAATTAAAGGCCATTTTCTTAATATTTTGAAATACTTACAAATTTTACCAAATTAAAAACAAGGTTTTTAATTCAATTTTCATTGAAATTCCAATTAAAAATTATATAAATTCCATTGAAGAACTAAATAGATGTTGAAAGGGTATAATCTTCTAACACAAAAACTATAATAAGCATTTTAAATTTTTTTCATTATTATTTAAATAAGTACTCGTTACTTTTATAATATGTACGCTTTCATTCAAAATTTTCTATTCTACTTTGTCCTTTTATTATACTAAAAATCAACTTTTTAAACTAAGTATATTTGCAATCCAATTTCAAGGATCATTAAATACAAAAATTTTTTTTTGTTCATTATTTAATATAAAAATTTTAAAATTAATATTATGCATTCAAGATTTAATTAAATTTACATTGAATTTTGTGATTCATGCATGAATTATTTTCCATTAAATTATATAGAATTTTTGAATCTTTTAATATAGTGGTGTATTCAATTCATTTAATATGCAGATAGGTACTAATAATAAAATCGCATATGTATAAAAATATAATAGAAAATTTTTATACATTTGAAAAATTTTAAAATCTCTTTGATCATAATAGTTGAAGTTTTTACATCAATCATTCATTTTAAAGTTGCTGCATTTTAATTAGACTTAATTCTAAAAATTTAATTATACTAAAATTACCAACTCATTTTAAATGGAAGGATTTATTTTTAATTGAATTAGATATATAAAATATAAAATTCATATAAAAGTTTTTAAGAATAATTAGAAATATAACACATTCAAATACTTAATTTGAATTGATGTAATACGTAATGTATTTGGTAAGGATTCTAATTTAATATGATTTTAGTAATGAAATTAAATTAAAAGAGCAAAAAGTTAAAATTTTTAAAAAATAAATTATAAAAGTTAAAAAATTTTGTTAAAAAGTTTCAACTAAAAAACTTAATGCAAGTAATCACATTAAAATAAAAATTAGAGATGTAAAAATTTCTAAAAATTACGTAAAAAATTATGTAATAAAAAAGAAATTTCGGAGATGAAAATGTGAAAAGTATAATAATGAAATTATATTTTGTTGAAAAGTAAATGTAAATTGAAAAGTTCCTGTAAATTTATTTAAAATTAAATTAAAATTTATTTAAAATTAAAGAAATAGTTTGATATTGTAATCGATCGTCAATAAAATCATTATTCGTAAAATTGATTAAAATTTGAAATAAAAACAAATATACAAGAAACATAGAAATTTTTCATTACATTATTTTAACGCAACATATAGAAAATCTAATTTAATCCTGAAATTTTTGAATTAATTATTCAATATTTAAATTTAGTAAATATGTTCATATTATTCGAATGAGTGCATAGGAAATTATTTAAAATGAATAATTTATCTTCCTTTAAATACAAAATATAGTTGAGCGAAAAATATAGTTGGGTCAAATCAATGGTTTGTAAGGAAGCACTTTTCCCTCCGACAATTGAAAATACTGGTTTTAGAAACAATCCGTGTACTGTAGTACATTATTAAAATTATTCTCATTTACCTACGAAAAAATTGCATATATTTAGGATGAAGCCAAGAAATATTGAAAGAAGCGTTAACATAATGCTAAAACTTAAGGGTTAATTGCATGACTTAAGAAAAATAATCATATATTTTAATGACATGGTATTTACTATTCGCTTTCTGCATTTATAGAGATTTGAAAAAGCTAGCAGTTTCGGAAGTAAAAGGGAGCAAAAATTCTTGTTAAAAATTTTAAAAATTTTGCGGGGTAAAAGTTGAGAGGGGGTGGAGATGGAAAAAGATTTTGTTCTAATGAAATGAACTACTTGGTAGTATCTGAAAGTTGCTAAAATTTTTGCTTGTGGGTTGTATAAGTCTGAATTAATTTTTCAAAATACGTCAGACTTCTACAGCCTATGGTCTAAAATAACAACGGTATCGAAAATTTGAAACAAAAAAAAAAAACAGATTTTAGAGAACAGTAAATTTGCACCGGCATTTTGTTTTTGTAAAGTTCAAATATTTTATGGCACGGTAGAAGAAGCCAGCAAATGCTTTTCTAATTCTGCAGAATCTTAAAAATTTTTCTGGTTTTTTTGCAATAATTAACATTAAAATTAAAAAATAGCATTATTAAGACTTTGAAGGGCTATTATTTTTAAATAGGGGAAAAAAAATAAATATTTTTTTGTACGGAAATAAGTTTCATGTAAAGATCTATGTACATATGGTATTTTAACTTTCCATCTTCAAGAATATGGAAGGATATATGTCCACTGGCGGACGGGCGGACGGCCGGCAACGTGAAACTAACAAGCACTTTTTTTTTTTAAATTTTTTGAAGTTAAAAAGAGATGAAGGAAACATGCACAAGTACAAAACAGCTTGTAAATTTAATCATCTAAACTCTTGCTTAAATGCAGACTTCATAATAAGGAAATTAATTAAATTTCAAAGATTTTCAAATAATATTTAAATTATGTCAAACAACTAAACCAGAATCGAAATCCACATAAATTTTGTGAATAATTATTATTCTTAAATTTATGAGGATTTAAAACTTATAACAGTTCAATTGCAAAACTATTATTCGAATATTTCTTACTAAATTCAAAATATAATTTCATTACTCTTAATATTAATATTTAATTCTCGTATTTGGACAATTTTACTCACACTCATTCTCATAACAATATTTTAAGTTCATTATGCATTAAATATAGAGTATAAATGTTAAGAATAACAAAATCTTTATAAATTCAGAATATCACATACAAATTTTATTTTCCCTGTGATTAGCTTAAATTAAAAAAAAAAATGAAACCACCACATTTATTGCTAATTCTTTAATTTCCTATAAATGCAAAATTTTATTGTAGGTATACTATAATATATCTAGATGTTATATTGAAGGTCATGGTCTAAAGAAAATTATAGTGAATGCCATTTTCAAGTATATACATACGAGTATATTAGTTTGTATTTTATTAAAATCTACCATGATCCAGCTATACCGATCTATAAGTATATGATTGTACAAGAGTATATACTACATTCCTATATAGAATTTCATATCATTTTCATACATAAAAATAAACTTACTTTCAATTATTACTTTTGAAGGACATTTTATTTTTTTTAAGCAGGATATTAACGAGAAATAAGTATTCAATATAAATACGAAATTTCTTTTCAAGTTCATTTGTGGTCCGATATTTTTTTTTTGCTTGTTTTCAGAAAATAAAATTTTATGAAGTCTCATTAAATCGAATCGAATAGAAGAAATCTTAGCACTTTAATCTTATAGCATTATACATATACTTTGAACTCATTAGGCCAACAAAACTCTCTGTCTTTCCCTCTCTCACTCTCTCTCTCTCTCTTTTATAGTTTTCATTTACTGTATTTTGAATGTTCTTGAAAATGAGTCTTTATTACTAAAAATTTTTTTTGTGTACAAGTAATCATCTCCGGGTACGATTATTTTTGATGAGAAAAGAAAATTTTGCTTATATTTTATTTTGATTTTTTACGTAAGTATATTTAAAAGAACAGTTGTGATTGTTGGTCAGAAAAAATACTCTCTATATATTATCCAAACAATAAAATGTTTTTATTTTTCTTTGGAAAATAATATTAATATGAGAGAATGTTTACACTATATTACACTATAGTATACTATATGATTATTTATATAAGCATCAACAATATTAGAGTATTCACGGTAAAGCTTAATATCCAGCATATTAAGTTCAAGAACAGCACAGCCTATAAGTATGTACAAAAATAAAATAACATTTTATATAGTATAACTAAATAATTTAGGAAGAAAATCTTCAAAACGAACAAAAAAAAACAGAAAACATTAAAACTAAAATTCCAAAAGTATAAATTGCAATAAAAGTTAAGTGAAAATCAATATTTATAAAAGGAAGAGAAAGGAAATCGACCGAGAAAAGAAAAACAATCATTCGATTTTCAGTTTTCGATATTAAACAATTTTTTGTTTTTCTTTTATTGTCTTTTACACACACATATTAATTTCCTTCAACTTGAAAGTATTTCTAATTTATTCGAGAGCTAATTTTAGAACAGGCTGGATTTAATTTCGCATATCTCTCATATACACATCAATTTTTATTTGTTTGTCTTGTTTACAACTTAAAAATGTAACAATTAAATGCCTTTGAGAATTTTAAAAATTAAGCTAAAATTAAAGATTTTTTGTTTAAAACATAGCTAGTTTTTAATCAAAGAATTAAAAGATATTTGAAAAAAACAAGATAAATTTCAAAATAGCACTGTTTTTTCAATTCTTCTTCTTCTTCAGCTGCCTATTCACTCATATCATGTTGACGATCACATTTTTCCTTATTTGTAGTTTGTATTATTGCATGTTTTTGATTATATTTGCAAATTCTTCTCGGTTTTGTGCTGCGTGTACTAGTTCATCGATTGTTCTAATTTCATCCACTTCCTGATATTTGTTAAACATGGCTGTTTCGCAATAAACTGTGAGAAATTGCGAAAATTTTTCAAGTTAATTCGACATCTAGAATTGTTTTGACTTAAAGGTAGTATTTTTTATTAATTAATGTTCTTTAATTCATTGCAATAAGAGTAGCACATAAAACGTACATTTCTTAAATCTAAAATCAAGTGTAAAATGGCTTACGGAAACAAATAAGTAAAAGAGATCCCTTTAAAGACTTTGTTTCAAAAATTTTCTATTTAAATGACAAAAAAATTTTCTTGAACATCAGATGATTTCAAATATTTAATTATACAATTTGTATTTAAATTTAAATACACATTACAGAGTATAAAATTCTTGGAAAATTTAATTTATTGAGCAAATAATTTTAATAATACAGAGTTGTTTGCCCTGCTTTCTCTTACACAGCGTTAAATTATGTCTCTTTTCAGACTGAAATATTTAAAAAAAATCAATTATAATTTTTAATGATTCTTCCAACATTCAACTAAATTTACATTACCGAAAAGTAAAAAATTTTGTTAGTGCTATTATTGAATTAAAGTTGAAACCTAATTAATTAGGTGTAGAATTACGTATAGTATTATTAAAGCCGTTTCAAGCGGAAAATAATAAGAAACTGAAAACAAACTACTTTTTTCAAAAAAAAAAAAAAAACAGAAAATTTATTTAATAAAATAGTCTAATTAGTGCTATAATATGAGCCCTATAATCTTTACAGCACATAAAATTTTACTCAATAATCAAAATTTATTGATGAAAACAAGAACCGATTAGTTTAACATAATGATGATATCTAGTGCCATGAAAATTTCATCAAAACAACTCAAGAATTTTCATTTAAAAAAAATAAAAAACATTCCAAAATATTTGAGTTTTTATTTCATTGGGATAGAAAAACATTAATTTCATCCATTTATCTTTAAAAGGATTTCCACTATTAAGCATCCAAATAAGGTAACAAGATAAAATTTTTCTGAAAAAGAAAGTTTGCAATTAAATTGAATTCTGATAAAATTGAAGCTATCACAATCTAATACACGTGCCAATTGAATCTAGACATCAAAAACAACAATATTAGATATATTGGGTATAATAAAAAATTAAAATGAATAAATAGCACGTGCTTAATGGCAAATTAACTATTATGTGTATGTATGTTTGTTATACTAAAAGAGTGTTAAAATTCCTTTCCTTTCAAATCTACTCTATAATGTATATATAAATATATTGATTTGCTTTATCATTTTTAATATAGTAGATGAGAATTTACTTCAATCAATGAGGAGAATGCCGATATTTTTCGCTTATTGTTTCTTTTGCTTGATTTTTTTTATGGCTTACTGTTTGATATGATTATTACTAAAAGATGAGAGCTATTTTTATTTCAGTTCCCTTTTGTCTCTGTTGTTAATATTCTAAAGCCCATAAATACAAAAAAAGGTCATAAAAATTAGAAGATTCAACAAAATGACAATATAAATTAGAAAAATAAAGGATATAAAAATAAAAATAAATTTAGAAATTAGATACAGAGTCTCTCCTATATTATTATATAAAGAATTCTTTATATAAATTTCTGTAATGCAATATTTTATGGATTTTCTACAAATTTCGTGAATTGCCGTGATGTCTCCAATGTCTGAGTGAAGGCTACATTCTCAGTGGTTTTTTAATAAAATGGATATAGGAAATAATGAAAGATTACTGTAGGTTTAACAGGTACTACACAGGTTTAAGAAAAATACTCCCAGTTTCACCAGCAAATAGATTTAATTCTTCAAAAATTCGATTAGAAATCTATTTTAATTCGGCCAACAAATATTTTCGAAGTTTTTCCTAATTTATCAAAGCGGATACTTAAAGATTTTTCAATATTTTTTTAAATTTTCAAGTGAATGATGAAACGATTGGCACGTGTTATTTCGCTACTACAGAAATTCTCTCCAAACCAAGTACCATAGGTAACTATTTCAATACCCTTAAAAAATTCTGAAACCGATTAAATTAAATCTGATATATTCTTTTATGTTGAGTAAAGCAACTGCAATATGTAAAAGTCTTACTAGATTTCCTAAAAACAAAATTTATAATTTAAATTAAGCGAAATTTTTAAAATTCCCGAAACAAATAATATTTTCCTCTTTTGTTGAACTTATAATATATTTGCTAATCCTTTTTTTTTTCAATACCTTCTTCTTTATACACATTACTCTGTACACACATACACACATGTGCATACAAAATTTTAATACTAAATTTGTATCTTCTTTAAATCTTGTATCCGTTTTTATTTTCTTTAGTAGCTAAGTCTGTAAATATTTTTACTATTTAACGTTTTTTAAAGGAATTCTTCTGTTGTTTATAAATTTTCAAATGTTGTATAATAATATGTACATAAACGTATATACAATGTTATCAAAAAAGTGTTAGAATTCAAATAAAAAAAAAAGCAAGGAAAAAATTCTAATGTTAAGCACTTATTTTTCTTTCTTAATGTAAATTTATGCTTTAATGCGAGAAATTATCAACAGGGATTCGGTACATATACTAATATTTAGGATGGAAGAAAAATTTAACTTTTTTATTCTTTCAATTTTGAGATTAGTTGCCTTAAAATATGGAGTAAAACTGTTGCATCTCCAATATCGAGGAAAATAAAAATTTTAAAGAGATTTTGAGAATAATATCGTTTCCGAATTGAAATTTTGTTCAAAAGGAACGATTAAATTTTCAAATTCCCCACATTTAATTAATTTTATATTAAAAAACTATTATTGGTTTTCCATTTTAACGATTAACAAGGATATTAATATGTTGAACAACAATTATGTTAGATTAATTAAGAATTTCTCAATTTTTACATGTTTGGTGCGAAATATAGGACACCTTTCACCCTTTTTTATTGTAATATTCGAAAACTTCCACAGAAAACTTATAATATCTATAAATTTTAGTGCCCGAGAATTTCTATAATAAGAAATGTCCTTGTAAGCATTAAAATATTAATGGAGAATTGAATATCCTTGAAAATTTTTAATTTTAAAAATATTTTTTAATCCAACCTTACAGAAAAATTAAATAAAAAAATTTTGTTTAGGCATTCAAATGTATTTTAATTTGAAATGTTTTTAAAATAAACATTTTTATATTTGGCAAAGAAAGCAAAAGGATAGAAGAAAATATTCGCAAGAAAACAAAAACAAGTGAACACATAAATATAAATTTTATGATTTAACAGCATACACTTTTTTTTTTGTATTTGATGAATTGATAACATTAAACAGGATGATCATAAAAAGCTATATAAAAAAAAAAACAAACAGGGAGAAAATTTCTTTCTGAATGGACGCGTGTAATTTTTTATTTTTTATGTAGCTTTTTTTTAGGAAATTTCGGCGCATTTCATTTGAATTATTTTTGTTTTTTTTTTTCTTTGCAGAGAAAATTGGAATATTTTTTAAATAATAATAATATAATTTCGAATGGGAAGTATAAGTAAATACATATTATGTAAATTACCATATATATATATATGATATATCATATAGAAATGAAATATTTACAGAAAATATTCACCACTTTCGTTGAATTCAATAATATGGAAGTGGGAAAATTTTTTTTAGTAGATTTGGGAAATCTTTTATATCATTTATAAAAAAAATGTTAATAAGGGATTTTGAAATAAATCAAGTTTTTGTTGAATTTTAGTATTATAAATGAGTTAATTTTTTATTTTACAAAAACTTTAGTAAAATTATAAGAAAAATATTAACAATATTTGAAAAAAAAAATGCATACTTCTAGGGAACATAATATGAAAGTAAAATATTTACCAAAAAAAATAATAATGTATTGTTATAATAAATAATATCTTGCCATAACGTTCATAATAATGAATTGTAATCACTAAGAAATTTTTAAAATTAGCTTGAAAAAAGTTAATGAATTTGAATAGTTAGCTAATAATTTTTTTTAAAGTGGTGGCCGGACAAGTGAAGCTTTTTAACTCGACCAATAAGATCTTCTCTGATTCGCGATTCAGTTTCATGAACACTAATTCTAGGGCCCGAATCTCAGTATTACATCCAACTGGAGCCGTGAAACCCCCGAAGGGAGCACAAAATTTCGATCGAACTACGTAAGTCTCACCCGGGAAACAGTCTCACACCCGCATACCAGATGAGCATGGACCGTCTCATCCTTTTTCCCCTAATTTTCCGGTCCAATGTAAAACAATGTCCAATGAGTATCCCAGCCACCAGGCTCAAGTCTCGAAAACTCAGCTAGATCTGGTTTTTCTACCGCTCCCTAGGGACCATAAAACGTTTCTGGAATACGCCATTCCCTGACAACTACTACCCAAAGTAAGACTGCGTCCTAACAAATACAGTCGCCATCCCCCTATGAGCTAACTGATCAGTATTCTCGCTCTCTTTAATTTCTCGGTGCCGGAGTATCCACATCGGGGTTAAATTGTTGTACCTAGTCAAACCAATATCGACTCAGTCCGATGATTTTGATGTTTTCATCGATGTCTGGTAGAAAATACCTAATAATATTAATAAATAATATTTGATTTTTATTGTTGTACCCTAACAGTATGCAATTTTTTTTAATATTCAATAATAATAGTAAAAATATTGAATATACTGCAACAATATTTCGTTGTAAAGTATTACTTGTGAAACTCAGCGAATTTTAATTCCTAATAAAATAATAATAAATTCAGAACCCAATTTTACATTCCACTAGCCTAATCAACATAATGAAAAGAAAACAAATATTGTCATATGAGTAGACATATACTTTTGATTTAATATATAAATTTTTCCGAAAAGACAAGCATGCAACACTCAGCCAATCTGTAACCGTATGTTTACGCAATATTTTAAAATTTTATGTGATGTTATGTAAAAAGTAAAAATGAGGGATGAGGATAAAATAATGAGAAAACTAATAGAGAAATTACAACTTGCTTTAAATTATGAAAGTGGATAAAAAGTGAGATATGGAA